AGAGAGAGAGAGAGAGAGAGAAAGAGAGAGACAGAGAGAGACAGAGAAAGAGAGAGACAGAGAGATAAAGACAGAGAGAGAAAAAAAAAACCTGAAGTAAAAAGAACAAAACAAAACCCCTCACCTTTGATGAGCGCCCCTTTCATATTGCTGGTGGTGGTGTTGATGTCACTGGTGTACTGCTCCTCCACCACCCACTCAGCCAGCAGACGCGTGTTGCTCAGGCACTGGAGGACACTGTTCATGAAACACTGGGGACAGATGGAGGAAAATAGCGGAGAACAAAATTTTAACAACAATTCTTTTTTGTTTTCCCTATTTTTTAACTCTTCAAACCCCATCGGATGCTGGGAGCGTCAGGCGTTAACATCCGTTCCCCATTGGACGCTCACGTCCGATACTAGTGACAACTGTTTCGTTTTATTTAGGGCTAGTTTTTGCTTGTTTTTCGTGACTATTCCCAAACCAAGTTTTTTAGAAATGAATAAGCCTTTGTTTGAGCTATTTAGAAGTTGGAGGAAAGCTTTTCGGGTTATATTGAGACAGGGTGCACCAGATTTAGGTGACTGTAGAAAAAACTCCCGGAAACGGTAGAAAAAACAGGTATTTTTACTCCCCCTCAACACAATTCAGATCATTTAAAAGGTGGGCTTCCGACTTTACATGTCAGGGCCAACCCAGGCTAAGAGGGATACAACATCCCAGCAGGAAGACAGATCCTGATTATAAATTTTCCCCCACTCTCTAACTAAAATTACGTCTACTGTGTGCGACAGCAAAGCGCTTCACTGCTGCACCACAGACGCAAGTATAATAAAGATCAGGAATTGGGAAATTCATAAGGAGTTCATGTTCATGGCCACTGTTTAGGTATGTTTAACGTGTATCATTGAAAATGAATGTAATCAATAAATTTGTATGTTGATGTTAAATCTTTCATCGAAACATACTCTCTGGGCTGATTTTTTGTCCATAGTCATATGCATAACTCTCTTTGGAAATCTCCCATGAATGAAATCACTGATATCAATACACACTTGCCAACCCCCCCCAAATTCACACTTTGCTTATTTTTCAGGCTGGGGAATCATGATTTTGCTTATTTTGAAAATGAAATGCTTATTTTGCGACATAGTTGCGGCTCTGTCGACATTTCAAGACCGAGAAACCGGAACCCACTGGGATTTCACTAGTAAAAAAAGCAAAATCCTGAAAGCAAACAAAATTCTATCATCGAATGCTAATTAATTTCCAATTTCGATACTTTACGGAGAAAAAACAAGAGGTATCAGCAATTGCTCGCATATTCTCAAATCACGATGAGTACTCGAATTATGCGGAATCAGGCAACACTGACAAATTCCTGGCCTTCCATAAAGGAGACCAGGGACAAGTTTTACAATCTGAGTAGGGACCGACAGCTGGTATCGAGCAATGGCAATCATGCTTACAGCAAAATCAAAAGATGTGTATTTGATCATTTTGACCCGTATTTGCGTATTGCTGACAGTTTTGCATACTACTATACCTAATTGCTTTCAGGTTGGCAAGTCTGTCAACATAAAAAATTTGACTCTTCCAGCCTACTGAATAGGTCTACACATGAATAATAACAATGGCACTTCTGTAGACTAAAACCAGTCCATATGATCAACTTATTAACATACATCATATTATGTGATCAAATAAAAAAATAAAAAATTCTCAGAATATACATTGGACAGAACCCTCCCCCCCACCCCCCAAACAGAATGTAAATCTATATCTTAAAATGGGGAATGTTCTATCAGAACACAAATTATCAGATCCACTTACGGTGTTGCCCAGGTTTTTAAGGCCTATCTTGCCCCCATCACGATGGCGGGATGCCTGCAAAAAAACAAAGATAGAACAAGATGATATAACTGACGAGAGCCCACATAAAGATACATCCAGCTTGCAATAATGACAAAAACTTTCCCGATTTAAAAAATGAAAGACGAATTTCATAAATTTATCTGACCATAAGAAATATGACAAACCTCATTTATCTGACCCTTAGAAATATAAATATCTTCATTGCGGTACACAGCAAATAAATATCCATTTGCACAGATCCCTCTCTCCCCCTCCGACTTTCATTCTCTAACCATACCCACTCATTCATTCGCTCTCATTCCAAACCATGGATCCATTCTACACTCAGAGCATAAACAAATTACAAAATCTGTTCAAACATAAAATGTTCTAAAAATTAGCAATTTAGACCTACTAAATTAAAAGAGCATCAGTTCTTGGTTTGACAAGATGACGCATCATTGAAGTCACACTAGAATCATATCCTAGACCATCAAAGCGGTTCGTCACAAAATGCGAGAGGTTCTTTAAAAGTTCACGCTTTAAAACAAAAACACAAAGCAACTGGACATGATTTCACAGCCAAGCATTATCCCTCTTATTGAACGGAATTTTTTAGCTAATAAAAACAGCTAAATTACATGCCGAACTAAACATGTGTCTAGTTTCTAGTATCTAGTTCTAGAGCAATAACACTCTGCCCCTTCTCCAAAACCCACTGTTCAGGGGGGCAAGCACAATAAGCCAAAGACAAGCAAGAAGTGGAACGAAAATCAAGGACATATAGATGACCATATAAGAAATATTTCATTTTAAAACTACAGAAATAGAGAAGTCATAAAAATTACTATTTCCTTCAAAGACTCCAAAACTTGGCTGCATAACAAGCAAACTCAAAGAAAATGAAACGTAAAGAAAATGTTTATCAACGACAAAACCTAAGTCTGAGGAATATATAAATATACAGTAAGAATGGGGCACTACAATGTATACACATGCTACCCCACATTTTGCTAAGGTTATAAATTGGTTTCAGAAGCATCACTGGGCCACCTCCTATCCAACATCTATAATAATACAGATTGTTTTAGGAAAGAAAATAATTGTTTATGAAATTAAATTTTGTTAATGGATACGGGATAACAGAAAATAGATCGAGTCTCGGAAAAAGCTAAAAAAAAAAAAAGAAAGAAAAACTACCAAAACCTCAACAAAACTTTTTTTAAACTTTGAGCAAAGCAGCAATAAAGTTCAAGCAGAACAATGGAACAAGCTTCTTTTTTGCAGCAAGCCTCTTGAGGCTACTGAAAGGAAAATACAAAGCAACAGGGATGGGCAAAGCCTGATTTCAAAGTTCAGAACTCTTTGTAAAACATTTTAAAGACAAAATCTGTTTTCCTTTTTAATAGAAAAGGGTATTCGCAGTTCTGTGATTTGTAAAAAGTGTTTGGAAAAAGCATTCTTACTGCTCTCATAACAGTATATAAATGAAAACCATGCTCTAGTGAACTGCAGAAACAATTCTGAAAAACAGAGCAGCTTCCTTTCCTTCATGCCAGTCTTCAGACTTTCCTTTAACATCCACATATTCTAAATCTGATCTGACTAAACAACCTTTAGGAAGACTTATATATATATGTTGTGACTATGGTCAACGCTTATCACAACTTCTTTTCAACTTATTAAAAAAAAACACAACTTAGAAAAAAAAAAGTATTCTTTCCAAATCCTGAATTCCGGTTTAAAAAATCCCCGAAATAACGGGAAAAATGCCCATCCCTGCGGTAACAGAAGCTGATTTCACTTACACCAGAGCTGTAGGAGGAGGTACTGGGGTAGCTACGACTGCTGGAGGAGTAGGGGGACTGTTGGGGGGAGGGAAGAGGAGGGGGGGAGAGTGAAA